TTGTCAACTAGAACCCCCAGGTCTCTTTCCTCCAGGCAGCTCCAGCCACACTTCCCCCAGCCTGTAGCGCTGCAGGGGGTTGTTGTGGCCTAAGTGCAGGACCTGGCACTTGCCCTTGTTGAAACTCATTCCACTGGCATTGGCCCAGTGATCCAATCTATCTAGGTCCTCTTGCAAAGCTTTCCTATCCTCCTGGGAATCAACACCCCTGCTTAACTTGGTGTCATCTGAGAACTTGCTGATGTTACACCTTATGTCCTTATCGAGATCATCATGACCAGATCCCTTAAATAATACAGGGACTAACGCATCCCCTGTGTCATCTCACATAGTCAATACGCTTAGATTGGAAATTACTTACTTTGAAAGCTCAGTCTTATTACTCAGTAACCATCCCTTCAATCCACTAACTACGTGTGGTATCGTGGTCTGAAGGAGCTCAAAACAAAATCCTCACCATCTGAGCCTGACTAATGCTGCTGACTTCCAACAAGAGTATGCACACGTAGAAATATTTGCCGGACAGTAGCCAAAATTTAGAGGTGATTTTCAAAATTAATAAAGTCAATTAATATGATTATAATATGATTATATAAAGTACTTTATTTTAGCATTTTTAAAAATATAACATTCTAAAAAACATTTACATCTATAATACATAAAAATTCATTAAAATCCACATAAAAAATATGCAAACGTTAACAGATTTTGAGTGGTGACAAACTTTCCAAAAAGGGGGTAGGAAGTGATAATTTAACACTTCCAAGAATTGTTTTTTAAACTGTGACTTTCACTGGTGTTAAGAATCCATTTGAGATATCAAATTCTATAACTGGCATAGAGCTGTCTAGACTATTTTAATGCCAAGAGTTTAGATATCAGAGAATTAAAATTATCACAAACCCACATCTCTGAGGTATGATAAATCAAAGAGCTGGTGATCCAGGTATCACCTGAAATAATACTATTCAGTAGCACTTAAGGATGCCTAGTATTTTGGAGAATAAAAACTCACTATAGTATTAGACACGCACACGAACAACAGTCCTCCAAAACAGATGATGCCATGAAGCTTTTGCTTCCCACCCTGTATTTATAAGCAAAACACCTTCCAAAGTCTTTTCTTTCATGTGGCATCTTGTCACTGATCATTTAACTGCTGGTAGCACTGGGATGCAGTGGTTTGACTCTTGCTAGTCTGGAGAGGCCGAGTCTAAGACATTGAGTAGGTGACTTAACTGAAATGTATTTCATGGCGTTATTACTGCTTCCTGATGGAGCTGAAAACAATTTTAAAACAAAAAGAAGGTGTAAGAAGTTAAGAGAGGAAAAAAGTAATCACAAAACTGTTGTATTTTTGTAGTTTTTATAGTAGAACAAAAAAGTATTCTAAAGATATTGCAAAAAGGTCTGAACAACATACCACAGAAGCACACAAAAATCAGCGTACTCACCGGGAATCAATCTATTTGGGAGCCAATGCAGCACAGCTTTAAGTAGCCAGCAACACCAGACAAGCACATAAAAACTGTTCCCAGGGTGGGAATCAGTCTATTTGGGAGCCAATGCAGCAGGTACAGTGCACAGCTTTAAGTAACCAGCAACACGCCAGACAAGCACATAAAAACTGTTCCCAGGGTACTGTGTGTTTTCAGGTGCTCCACACAGAGAATCACCCAACTGAACACAATTCCAAGTGGGGAAATAAGGTGTGAAAGAAAGGAGCCAACCAGAAAGAAATGTGTACAGAAAAGAATAGTAAACGTGAAAGGAAATCAAAGTAAGAGGCAGCAGTCAGCAGCCACACGCTCCAACACTTTAAGAAAGTAAAAGCTTATAAGCATTTGCTTTACTAAAGCAATTGAAACACTCCAATAGTTTTCAAATATTATTTCTTTAGAATAGATAACATGGTATGCTGGTATGAGGCACATACCGGAGATAAAGAAAGCTCTTAACAAGAGAGAAATAGCCACACAATCTCTTGATTGAGATTTGATCCACACTCTGGAAAATATTAACCTCCCCACATAAAGTAAGGATAAGCTGTAAGAGGAAAAGAAGCAGGAAGGTATGTCTTCTCTTTTTTTAAATCTAAGGTCAAAAGAATACCTTTCATTATAAGAGGGCAGTAATTTTTCTGAAATACTGTTCGTTTGTTTGCTCTTAGGAGAAATTGCTAAAAACTTAAGTCAACTAAGTGTATCTGTTTATAGTTACCTGGTGGTATCCATTTAGGCTTCTTATATGTTACAGGACTTGAAGTATGTAAAGGTCTCCCAACTGGTTCCAAAGTACTGGACATCTCCTTTTGTGTTGGCTCAGATTTTGGTTCCATTACTCGTGAAGGAGAAACTACAGATGACACTTGGTTGGAAAATAAAAGCGACCTTAGAAAGATACTCTTTAGCAGAGGAATCACCACACTGCATAAGATGATAGATCATTGTACAGCACAAGCTCTCTATGTTGAGTGAAATAATGAATATGTTACTAGATTGTCACATCTTTAACTGTATACATTTATACAATCAGTCCTGTTATACTCTGAAATTTCAATCCTGGTTTGAAAATAAGCAGTGTAACAATTTCCTCTTGAAGACCTGACAGATACGGAATTTCTAAGAGGGAAGATTCTTCTGTCAGCTACACAAAGCAAACCATTCCCTGTAGTAACAAAAACTAGTTTTAAACTAAATTACATGATGTAAACTCAGGCCCAAAATCAAAACACATTACCAAGTCAGACACAAGATTAACACCATGGCAAGATTTTTTTTTAAGCTAGTTAAAGTAAATTGTGTAGCAACACAGTGAACAAATAACCCTGAAGGGCACAGATATTTAATATTTTTCACCAAGTGGTTAGTAGTACTAGCATTATTTAGCCATCCTTGAATTAAAAACTTACCAATGCAACTGCAAGAGGAGGCTCTGAGATTATAATTAAAAAAAAAAAAATCTCAGATCACTCATTGTTATTTTTCTTAAAAGAAAAATCTATAAAAAGAAATTAACTCAGTCTATTAACTTTTGTCTGCTTTTATTGTAAGGGGTGTTAGTTTATTACCAAGCATTTTTTTCTTTCAGGATTTTTTTCTACTCTCCTACCTTTGCTCTGCACATAGTAATTTTCATCATAACCCTGCATAGTCAGTTTGTCAGCCAAATTTATCTAATCCTTCAGTGAAAATAAAAGGAACTTTTATTATAAAGAAGCCTATTTCAAATTGATGGTACCTGTAGGATTAATCTTGGACTTGAGATTTTTCTTCTGTCTTTCAGGTGGCATCTTTTGTCTGGTTTGCTTTTTATTTCCTTTGGCTTTTTTCTTTTCCATCGCAAAGTCTTCATCATCACCTTCACTATAATCTGAATCTTCTTCTGAATCCTCACCTACAGCAAGGAAAAGGGATGTCATCTCTTTACAGGAAATGCAATTTACTGTTATTCCAGGGCCTTCTAATCGTATTCTGGACATAAAGAACCAGGATTTCTTAAGGATATAGTAAAGCAAATTTGCACATATTTATATGCTGAACTGAGAAAGAAATAGCCTCCATAAAACATTATGTATTTATAGAATTCTTGTTTTGTCCTTTAATAATGGAACACCTTGGTATAAACTGCATACAATAATGATCTTAACAGCAGAATTACAGGTATTCCCTGGTCCTTACAGGGAACTTCAATCACTCCAATATCTGTTGGAGGAAAGACACAGCAAGGCATAAGCAATCCAGGAGGTTCCTGGTAAGCCTTGATGGTAACTTCCTTCTCCAAGTGAGAGGGGAGTCTACGAGGAGAGGTGCTATGATGAACCTTGTTTGCACCTACAAGGAGGGGCTGGTGGGGAATGTAAAGCTCAAGGGCAACCTTGGCTGCAGGGACCATGAAATGGTGAAGCTCAAGACCCTTAAGGAAGTGAGGAGAGTGCACAGCAAGCTAACTCCAGGCCTTCAGGAGTGCAGACCTTGACCTCTTCAGGGATCTGCTTGGCAGAGTAGCATGGGAACAAGCCCTGGAAGGAAGAGGGGCCCAAGAAAGCTGGTTAATATTCAAGAGTCACCTCCTCCAAGCTCAGGAGTGATGCATCCCAACAAAGAGGAAGCCAGGCAAAAACACCAAGAGGCCTGCATGGATGAACAAGTAGCTCCTGGACAAATTCAAACACAAAAAGGAAATCTACAGAGGGTGGAAACAAGGACAGGTCGCCTGAGAGGAATACAGAGAGAAACTGTCCAAGCAGCCAGGAATCAGGTCAGGGAAGCTAAAGCCCAGACAGAATGAAACCTGGCCAGGGACATCAAGAGCAACAAGTAAAGCTTCTACAGGTTATGTCACTGATAAAAGGAAGACTAGAGAAAATGTAGGCACACCAAGAGGCCTGCATGGATGAACAAGTAGCTCCTGGACAAATTCAAACACAAAAAGGAAATCTACAGAGGGTGGAAACAAGGACAGGTCGCCTGAGAGGAATACAGAGAGAAACTGTCCAAGCAGCCAGGAATCAGGTCAGGGAAGCTAAAGCCCAGACAGAATGAAACCTGGCCAGGGACATCAAGAGCAACAAGTAAAGCTTCTACAGGTTATGTCACTGATAAAAGGAAGACTAGAGAAAATGTAGGCCTCTCCAGAAGGAAACAGAAGACCTGGTTACCCAGGGATATGGAGAAAGCTGAGGTACTCGGTGTCTTTTTTGCCTCACCAGCAGGTCCTCTAGCCATCATGTCCAAGTCGCAGAAGGCAAAGGCAGGGACTGGGAGAATGAAGAACTGCCCACTGCAGGAGAAGATCAGGTTCGAGGCACTATGAGGAACCTGAAGGTGCACAAATCCAGGGGACTTGATGAGATACATCTGTGGGTCCAGAGGGTACTGGCACATGAAGTTGCTAAGCCACCAATCATCGTATCTGAGAAGTTGTGGCAGGCTGGTGAAATTCCCACTGGAAAAGGGTAAATATAACCCCCATTTTCAAAAAGGGAATAAAGGAAAAGCCAGGGATCTACAGGCCAGTGAGTCTGATCCCAACAAGATCATGGAGCAAATCCTCTTGGAAACTCTGCTAAGACACATGGAAAACAAGGAGGTGATTGGCGACAGCCAACATGAATTCACTAAAGGCAAAATGTGTCTGACAAATTTGGTGGCCTTACGATGGGGTTACAGCATTTGTGGATAATGGAAAAGCAACTGATATCATCTACCTGGATTTTTGCAAAGCATTTGATACTGTCCCACATGACATCCTGGTCTCAAAACTGGAGAAACACGGATTTGACAGATGGACCACTCGGTGGATAAGGAACTGGCTGGATGGCTGCAGTCAAAGGATTGTGGTCAACGGCGCAATGTCCAAGTGGCAGCCAGTGACGAGTGGTGTTCCTCAGGGGTCACTAGTGGGACCAGTGCTGTTTAACACCTTTGTTGGCAACATGGACAGTGGGATTGAGTGCACCCTCAGCAAGTTTGCTGACAACACCAAGCTGCGTGATGCAGTCAACACGCGGCAGAGAAGGGATGCCATCCAGAGGGACCTGGACAGCCTTGAGAGATGGGCCCGTGCAAACCTCACAAAGTTCAACAAGGCCTAGTGGAAGGTCCTGCATGTAGGTCAGGACAATCCAAAGCACAACTCCAGGCTGGAAAGAGAATGGACTGAGAGCAGCCCTGAGGAGAAGGACTTTGGGGTGTTGGTGAATGAGAAGCTCAACATAAGACTGCAATGTGCACTTGTAGCCCAGAAAGCCAACCAAATCCTGGGCTGCATCCAAAGAAACACGGCCAACAGGTCAAGGGAGGTGATTCTGCCCCTCTACTCTTTTTTGTTACGAGGGTGGTGAGACACTGGAACAGGTTGCCCAGGGAAGTTGTGGATGCCCCATCCCTGGAGGGGTTCAAGGCCAGGCTGGATGGGGCTTGGAGCAACCTGGTCTGGTGGGAGGTGTCCCTGCCCAGGGCAGGGGGGTTGGAACTTGATGATCTTTAAGGTCCCTTCCAACCCAAACCATTCAGTGATTCTGTGATCATATTCTGCAGGCATTCAATACTAGGCTGCTACCAGAAGCACAGTATGAGGCTAGGCTGACCTCCAATCAGATGCAGCACGGTTTTCTAAGAGTTGAGAATTGGAGGAAGGAAAGAAAGGAGGCTACTTATTTTTTCAGCTAAGCTTAAACAAAGCCAATATTGAAAGCACTAACAGCTGACACTACTCCAGAGTCACTGTTTTGACAAAAACCCCAGAAAACATCTGGGAAAGAGAACAGAGCCTCTTTAAGAGACTAAACTTTCTTGGACAAAGTGGGTAGAAGAAATTTGTTCTGACATACTGCAGCAAATGCAGAGAAGCCAGTATCATTTTTGCCAGTTTGGGGAATGCGTACAAATAAGATCCTATGTCTAGATTTAGCATCAACGTGCAGTTGAGATGCCACTAGTATTGAAAGATAATGCTTCAGTAAGGGGGAAGAGGGAAGATACAATCGAAGCAGTACACATTTCACTGAAAATATGAACTAAATGTAAGGCAGCACATTTAAAGGAGAGGGTTTTTATAGAGAAGAACTTACTGGGTACACACTCTGGCTCAGAGTCAGTAGCATGCTCTCCATCATTATTGTCAACAGTCAGTAACTTCTGATGTGCTGGAACTTTAGGTGCTGCTGTCCTTTGCCTACCATCACCCCTAGGTACATCATCATCCATAACCCGATTGAGACCTAGAAAACAGAAGGTGGTCTAGACCTGGTTACCCAGGGATATGGAGAAAGCTGAGGTACTCGGTGTCTTTTTTGCCTCACCAGCAGGTCCTCTAGCCATCATGTCCAAGTCGCAGAAGGCAAAGGCAGGGACTGGGAGAATGAAGAACTGCCCACTGCAGGAGAAGATCAGGTTCGAGGCACTATGAGGAACCTGAAGGTGCACAAATCCAGGGGACTTGATGAGATACATCTGTGGGTCCAGAGGGTACTGGCACATGAAGTTGCTAAGCCACCAATCATCGTATCTGAGAAGTTGTGGCAGGCTGGGGAAATTCCCACTGGAAAAGGGTAAATATAAACCCCATTTTCAAAAAGGGAATAAAGGAAAAGCCAGGGATCTACAGGCCAGTGAGTCTGATCCCAACAAGATCATGGAGCAAATCCTCTTGGAAACTCTGCTAAGACACATGGAAAACAAGGAGGTGATTGGCGACAGCCAACATGAATTCACTAAAGGCAAAATGTGTCTGACAAATTTGGTGGCCTTACGATGGGGTTACAGCATTTGTGGATAATGGAAAAGCAACTGATATCATCTACCTGGATTTTTGCAAAGCATTTGATACTGTCCCACATGACATCCTGGTCTCAAAACTGGAGAAACACGGATTTGACAGATGGACCACTCGGTGGATAAGGAACTGGCTGGATGGCTGCAGTCAAAGGATTGTGGTCAACAGCTCAATGTCCAAGTGGCAGCCAGTGACGAGTGGTGTTCCTCAGGGGTCACTAGTGGGACCAGTGCTGTTTAACACCTTTGTTGGCAACATGGACAGTGGGATTGAGTGCACCCTCAGCAAGTTTGCTGACAACACCAAGCTGCGTGGTGCAGTCAACACGCGGCAGAGAAGGGATGCCATCCAGAGGGACCTGGACAGCCTTGAGAGATGGGCCTGTGCAAACCTCACAAAGTTCGACAAGGCCAAGTGAAAGGTCCTGCATATAAGTCAGGACAATCCAAAGCACAAATACAGGCTGGAAAGAGAATTGATTGAGAGCAGCCCTCAGGAGAAGGACTTTGGGGTGTTGGTGAATGAGAAGCTCAAAACAAGACTGCAATGTGCACTTGTAGCCCAGAAAGCCAACCAAATCCTGGGCTGCATCCAAAGAAACACGGCCAACAGGTCAAGGGAGGTGATTCTGCCCCTCTACTCTTTTTTGTTACGAGGGTGGTGAGACACTGGAACAGGTTGCCCAGGGAAGTTGTGGATGCCCCATCCCTGGAGGGGTTCAAGGCCAGGCTGGATGGGGCTTGGAGCAACCTGGTCTGGTGGGAGGTGTCCCTGCCCAGGGCAGGGGGGTTGGAACTTGATGATCTTTAAGGTCCCTTCCAACCCGAACCATTCTGTGATTCTGTGATCATATTCTGCAGGCATTCAATACTAGGCTGCTACCAGAAGCACAGTATGAGGCTAGGCTGACCTCCAATCAGATGCAGCACGGTTTTCTAAGAGTTGAGAATTGGAGGAAGGAAAGAAAGGAGGCTACTTATTTTTTCAGCTAAGCTTAAACAAAGCCAATATTGAAAGCACTAACAGCTGACACTACTCCAGAGTCACTGTTTTGACAAAAACCCCAGAAAACATCTGGGAAAGAGAACAGAGCCTCTTTAAGAGACTAAACTTTCTTGGACAAAGTGGGTAGAAGAAATTTGTTCTGACATACTGCAGCAAATGCAGAGAAGCCAGTATCATTTTTGCCAGTTTGGGGAATGCGTACAAATAAGATCCTATGTCTAGATTTAGCATCAACATGCAGTTGAGATGCCACTAGTATTGAAAGATAATGCTTCAGTAAGGGGGAAGAGGGAAGATACAATCGAAGCAGTACACATTTCACTGAAAATATGAACTAAATGTAAGGCAGCACATTTAAAGGAGAGGGTTTTTATAGAGAAGAACTTACTGGGTACACACTCTGGCTCAGAGTCAGTAGCATGCTCTCCATCATTATTGTCAACAGTCAGTAACTTCTGATGTGCTGGAACTTTAGGTGCTGCTGTCCTTTGCCTACCATCACCCCTAGGTACATCATCATCCATAACCCGATTGAGACCTAGAAAACAGAAGGTGGTCTAATTAATTCAAATGCACAGTAAATCTATTCTTCTTCTCAAAAAGCAGCAGGTATTTGAGTCCCCAGAATTCACTTTTGGGATTTTGAAGTATACTATACAGAAGCCTATCATTGGCACTTGTTTTCAGGTGATTCTCGTTTTACTCTTTTAACTGACCAAATTGTACTTTCTGGTTGTGAAAGTTATCAATATTTATCCGTAATCAAGCTAAAAAACAGACAGAAGACCAAAAATAAAACTGGAAAACTGAGAAAGTCTCTAATGGCTCAGCAAATGTTTTTGGTCATGTTTATTTGATGCTTAGGCACTATGGACCCATGAAGGATAGGAGGGTAAGTGTAGCTTCTCAAAGTAAATAAACTCAGCACATAAAACCATCACGTCTGTTGCTTTTTCCAACTAACTTTTAGTGATCTGTACCAATCTCATTCAGCAATACACAGGTCCTCCCATTTTAAGACTGGAACCAGATTTTTAATTAAAAAATTAATGTATCCTTCCTCCTTCAGTCTGTATTTAAGATAAAGATTCTTTTTCCACATAAGTGAAAGCCAAAACCCAATAAAAACAACGGAGAGATAAGCTACTTAAAGGTATCTTGAAATGCTATTTCTAAAAAGACAGCGTATGAGAACAACTTACCTAAAAGTTCACTGTCTACACTGCAGTTGGAAAAGGGGGGTCTCCTATGTACATTTTCTGATTCAATATTCTTACCTGTTTCAGAATCCAGAAAATAAACAATAAATAATACAAAATATTAGCTTACAAAAAACACATTATAAGAAGTGAGGATATTAAAAAATGAAAATAGCTAATGTTTCTTTCTGTCTCTAATCAAACTATATGTTTGGAAGATCTTACAGAAGAGTTCTTTTTCTCACAGAAAAATACAAGAACATAAGAACTCAGGCGATACCTAGAAAATCTCATTTCCTTACTGTGATATATTGAAATAAAACATGACTTTCAACCTATTTCACTGTAAAATAAATTGTCGTGTTCTAATTCACTACATATAAATAGAGTGTTGCATTGAACTGTAAAATAACCTTGTTCTTCTGAATTTTGCACCTCAAGGATATTTGCAGATTTTTCTTTGATGGATAAGGCTAAGGCAACTTCCAAATCTCTTTGATAAAGTTTGTCATCCAAGGATATCCTGGAAAAAAGAAAATCAAACATGCTAAATAATAAAACAATGACACGAGTGTTACAGATATATTTCTGACTCACTGAACTTTAAAAAATTCAAATACTTGTACTGAGACCAACATTTCAATACATACTTACAGCATATCATATTATGAATATTACCTCCTGAAACGTTTACAAACTACACACTAGTAATTAAAGCACACTATACTTAGAAGTATTATGATTGCAAAACGTTGTATATATAGATGAACTAATAACACATCGTCACAGAAAGAGGCAATTACATTTGCCTGAAACATCACACTGAAATGTAGTATTTATACACAACTTTACTACCAAAATAATCAGATTTCTTTTTTCATTGCAATTGCCTTCGTACTTTCCATCAAGATTTAAATATGTTCTTTCTCAAGGAGTTCAACTTGGCTTTATATTTCTCAGAATTGTTAGTTATTGTGCCCCATAGAGATATCAGGACAAGATCAGACATGCAAACCTGCTTCTGCATCTACGCAGGCCGCTTGCTGGAGTTTTTTAGAGCTGCAACAAAACAAACGTAGCTCACTAACGAACTCAGGAAAGTTTTCCTGACTCTATGCATAATTACTTTATCCCTCATTTGCAATGATACTCATAATGCTGAAAATCTTTATCACGCTAATATGTTAGTTGTTTATTCTCAGCTGCTTAAAATTCCAGGGGGAAAAAGAAAACACAAATACTATTATTGGAATCCAGCTTTATACAGAGGTGACCACATTTCAACATTTCTTACCTTTTACCAGGTGTCTGCTTTTGTGACGGAGCCAATTCAGTGTGTGGCTTTTTTTGCTTCTCTTTTTTCTCCTTCTTTGGATCCTTGAGCTGTGTTCTGGATTTTTTGCTTGAAGGTGCAGCTATACATGCAAAGTCTTCATCTGTTTGGGAAACAGCAAGAAGCTTTAATGAGTTTTGCTGTATTCTTCCATGTGACCAAAAGAAGTCATTCACACTGAAAATATACCAAAGATAACCTTTTTGAAATGAGTTCTATTTTTAAAGAACACAACTATAATTATACTATTCTTGAATATATTTTGAATGAAAGTTTAACAGGCCCACTTTTGCATATATTTTTATTAAAGAGGTAATTATTTCAATTTTTATTACCAATTTGGCAATAAAACTTCAATGTCTAATGGGCTACCAGCTTTTCAATAACTAGAAGTTCATCTTTTGATATGCTGAAGAGCAATCAATTATAATAACAATCACTGTTATTAAACAGTTTTAGAATTCCTGGTGTTTTGGGAACTGCTCCCATTAAAAAATGTCTTCTGCTCCCTTTTTTCTACTATTTTCATATTGCCTCTTACCAAACACAATGCATTTCTCCAATTTTCAAAGAAAATTAGAAGGCATAAAACGTGCCTTTTTTCCAACGGAAAACACTGCAGATCACAGTGCAAAATAAGGAAAACCATAATAATCTTCATTATTCTCTAAATGATGAAGAACCTTAGACAAGATCACTAACATTTCTGAGAATTTATACTTTTCTTTAATGTTACATGTGGTCACTTATAAATTAAGAAAAGTCATGCATCACATTTAAACTCCTGAAACTAAGAGTGTCCATTAATCCACACGATTCACAGCAAAATTAAAAATTTACTTTTGCCCTCCCTTTCTACCAATTCAAATTGTTCCCTGGATCCTGCAAACAGCATGGGAAAAAACCCTCCGAAAGCCACGAAAGCAACCAAATTCTGGAAGAAAAATGCACAGTATCCACTGGGGCTCAGAAGTAAGAGAGGACTGTCATGAAAACAAATAGCCTGCAGTCCAGCCTTCTTATCAATGAGCTCAAAATTTAACTGCCATGTCCTTAACCAAGACCCATCAAGATACAGAGCTGCAGCAGAAACATTAGATCTAAGTACAGATGATTCACTCCTCCTTTATGCTCCGATTTACAACCCTGTGAGCTGAAAATCAGGTGGAGAAGGAACCACCAATCACCACCAAAAACTGAGGCAGGGAAAGAAACAGATTTTCCTGCAACAAGATGCTACGTATTCACCTGTTTCCTGACATACTGTTGTTATACTCTGCCTTGGAGCCATCATATTCTTATTGTATTAGGGCATTTAACAGTGTGCCGGGATTACTTCTAGTGAAAACAGTTAAGAGCCTTCTTGAGGAACTAATTAATTAAAACCACCATGGCGATATTTTGGGTGGTTACACGAGTGCTTGGTGTTTTTGTTAAGAACATACCACTTACCATCATCTTCCAAATCTCCAAACTGAGAATAATTGACAATTTTCTTGTTCCTGTGGTAAAAAAGCATACACTGTTGATCCTTTCTGACCGAGCACCTTGCCCAGCTAACACCTGGGGTCTGGGTCAATCATGTTTCACAGGAGAAAAAAGCCCGTTCAAATATATGTATAAGCAGTGCTACTGTACAATGTGGTTTTTAGGAATAGCTTCTAGATTATTTTTTTTTAAATCTTACACCAACAGTGTTTTTTGTAGTTCTCGCTGTGGGAGCACTGTCTTCTCCTCACGTTCAGCCCGCCTAAGAGCTGTAGGAGCACTGTAACCTCCTCACGTTCAGGCCGCCTAAGAGCTGCTGCAATTTATTAAATTTACGGAAATTATTTATCGCCCGGGTCGCTTTTCGGGCACTTGACAGGCGTTTCCCGCCCACCTCCGGGCCGGCCCAGCTGCGATCCCACCCGGAGGGGGCACAGGCCCTACCTCAGCCCGGTACCCACCCGAGGGATGCCGCCCGCCGGGGCTGCCCTCCGCGGCGAACAGCCGCTCCCCCACACCCCTCCAACGGGAAGGGAGAACGGGGGAACCCCGTCCTTCGGGCCCCGCGTTACGGCAGAGCCGCGGAGAGGCTGGGTCGGGCGGCGCGGGGCTCCGACGGTCCCGGTGAGGGGGACAGGGGGAGGGAAGGAGGGAGAGAGAGAGGGGGCCCGCGCGCTCCCTCAGCGGGCAACGGCCGTCGCGCGCGCGCGCGCTTGAAGGCTTTCTAGGAAACGCCATCCGGCGCCGCCAGGCGCGAGCTGCCGGCGTCCCCGCGCGCCCCTCGGGACCGGCCGGCGGCGGCGGCTCGCGCTCCCTTGACTCCCCT